TCTTTTTTCAAATCTGAAATATAAAGCTTTATCCTCTCCAAATAGCAAAAAAACTTCAAATCCATCTTGCCTTAACCATAAAGGTATTTCTAGTTTTAAAATGCCCACAAATCCTCTAGGACTGTTGTTCCCTCAATTTGGAATAAATGAATAAACCATTTCATTTTTAAATATCATTCATCACTAGTAGAAAAAATGAAACAAGATTATATTCTGAGCATACTGTGACCTTCAATTATGGAGATGAAATTTAAAGGAAGTCAAACATCACTTTATTTAATGTAAATTTAGTGTTCTGGTACTGTTACATACATATAGTTTTCAGCCTTGTATATTTGTTGTTACAGGGATAGATCTCTTCTCTCTAGTTTTTAGATGTTATCCATGATTCATAATCTTGGCTGCCTGTTAGATTCAGAACATTAAAAGATCTGGATTCCTGCACTACAATCTGTGGTCCTCAAAACCCTTAGTTAATTCCTCTGAATGTAGATGATACCTAAATGGAGTGAGTTATGATTTCTATTTTCAAGTTACATTATGAGGCAAGAGTAAAGATAATCTGTAGATAAAACATAGCTCCTAATTAGTTGAATTAAGTTGATAAATTAAATGATTGTCCTGAGGGGGCCAGCAATAATCGTGTGAAATCTTTGTAAGTATCTAAAGATCAGAATCAATTAAGTAGGATTAAAGGATACATGCATAATGTCCTATTGGGTATGAAGAAACAAGCTGACATGTTATAAAAATGGGAGTATGAAGAATACTAACTGACCTATAGGACATGTAGAACTGTGTCCAACAACCACTCATAATTGAATTAGGTCAACAACCTGTAAGCAAATAAGTGTCACTGAGGACTCTGAGTTTCAGATGAGGTAAAGTCTCTGGCTGGTAGGTATATGTTTTTAGCCTGTCAAGAACCTGAAAATAGAAAGCATCTAACCCATGAAAATCATGACAATTTGTGATTTTTAAACTCTAACCTTGTAGTAACTTTTTACATAGTAAAATAAAATGAATGCCCAGACCAAACTGAATTGATATGGAATAAGACAAAAGATTCACATTTTAAAATTACTTCATTAATTACAATATGCACATAAGATTGTGACCACTGACCTAGGCTTTATCTGATATATATATCTTCTTGAATAACAAAGACTGATTTTCTCATATCATCTCACATACAGCTTGAGACTTAAGTAAGCTCAGTATTATTATACAACTCTTATCACTGTGTTAATAATACCAAATAGTAATTTTTCAGTGCTGCTTTGATTTCTGACAGGTAGACTGATATTTTAGGCATCAGAGATATCTTTAGGGAGAAAAAGTATAAGGTACATATATGTGTCAATTTATTTTCCAGTATTAAAACAGAAATTCAAAGAGACTTCAGATGGTTTTTAATATTATTATGCCTATTCAGGAGAAATATTTTTATAGGAACTTTTCACAGACAGAAGGGCAATTCCACTGCTAGCTGCTTTTGAAACATCTTTTAAATTTTCTTTAAAATACTTAAATAAGCTAGATAGAAATTGAAGTTTTACACTAATGTATAATATTGCAGAAAATGACTAGTTCTCAGTTTCAAATGATTTCTTCTGATAGTTGTTCATGACAATTTAGTAATTCAATAACTAACTTCTCCATGACCATCACTGTTCTTGACACTGGCATTGGACTGTAACACCACTCCTCCAAATAACACAGAACAGTGATTCTCAGATTTGATCCTACGATTAATAGCATAAGTATTATGTAAGAACTTGCTAGAAATTCAAACCTTGCAGCACTAACCTTGACTTAAAGAAAAATAAATTAAGAAGAGAGATAACAATGTGTCATACAATGGTGATTCTGAGGTATATACATGTTTCTGAATAGTTATCATAACATAAAGACATTGACATGCATTTGTACTATTCCTAAAAATAATTTTCCATGCTTTGTGCACATACAAAATTTTACAAACCAGTCTTTTTGTGACTGTCTCTAATTCAGATTCACACAGACTTGAAAGGAAACACCTCATATGAATCAGAGCCACATAACATTACATGATCCTTTTATTTTATTGATATTATAGTCTTAGCTGCTGCTTCTCCTCCTCTTCCTCCTCCTTTTTCTTCTCTTTGTTTGTTTTCTTTAGTAAGACAGGGTTTCTCTGTATAACACCCCTGGCTGTCCTAGAACTTGCTTTGTTGAATATGCTGACCTCAATCTCACAAAGATCGACCTATCTCTGCCTCTGGAGTGCTGGACTTAAAGGTGTGTGCCACCAATGCACAGCTCAGTCTTAGCTTCTTGTTCACTTTACAAAGACATAGCCCCAAAATCATAAACTATGATTTTTCCTTGGCTAAGTGAATAATAATCATAGAAATAATAATAGTAATAATTGTACCAGGCTTTCTTTTTTTTGGTCACCAGCCAGCTCCTAAATCAGGACATGGAGACTTATTAGGTATGAATGCTCGGCAAAGCTTAGGCTTGGTTCTAACAACTACTTTTAACTTAAATTAACCTGTTTCTCTTATCTATCTTTTGCCTCAGAGCTCCTTTACCTTTTTTCCTTCTGTATATCTTACTTTTACTGCTTCTCGTGTCTGGATGGAATGCTGGCTCATGGCTGGCTGGCTGGCCACAGGCATTTCCCTCTTTTCTCCTTCATTTTCTCCTCTCCTCTCTTCTCCTCTCCTCTCCTCTCCTCTCCTCCTCCTCCTCTCTCTCTTTTTCTCTTTCTTTCTCTCTCTCTCTCTCTCTCTCTCTCTCTCTCTCTCTCTCTCTCTCTCTCTCTCTCTTCTACCATTTATTCTCTATTTCTGCCAGTCCTACCTATCTTTCTCCTGCCTAGCTATTGACCATTCAGCTTTTTATTAGACCAATCAGGTGCCTTAGGCAGGCATGACGAAACAAATACAATACATCTATAAAATTAAACATACATCCTTATACCATTAAACAAATGCAGCAAAAATAGATGTAACACACCTTTACACAGTTAAAGTAATATTCCTCAGCATACACACATGTAACACATCTTTGCCCAGTTAAAATAATATTCCACAACAAAAAAAAAATAATGGTCTTGATACAACCGCTCTCCTGGAACTTATTTTTTCACTTTCTGTGAACAACAAAGTTATTCATTTCTTATTCTGAAATTTTTACCCTGAGAGAAATATCAAGAAAAACATTGTGCTAAAATTAATTGAGTAATTTCCCATTCTTAGGCTACTCACATTAATGTGTGTTTCCTCTCTTTTCCTTACTCTCTGTCATAAGTACTATTCTATTGCTGTGAAGAGACACCATAACCAAAGCAACTTATAGAAGAAAACATTTGACTGTGGGCTTGCTTACAGTTTCAGAGAGTTAGTCCATGATCATCATGGTGGATAATATGGCAGTAGTCAAGTAAGGCATAATACTGGAGTAGTAGCTGAAAGTTTACATTTCAATATATAGACATCAGGTAGAGAGAGAGGAGAGAGGGTAGAGAGAGAGGAGAGAGAGAGAGAGAGAGAGAGAGAGAGAGAGAGAGAGAG